AAGAGGCTATCTAGGTGAAAATTGAACATCCCCCCCCCAACAGGGATACGACATCATCTATCTCCAATCTACAACATAAATCCTTTCAGCAGTTCCAAGAAAGCTCTACGCCCATTTGCACCATTCAGGTGACCCTGAGGACACAGATAAACCTCCAAGTGGCCTCAATGACTCTCTAAAAGGAGGCAAATGACCAGCTGTCTGCAAGGAGTATAAATCCTTCCATTCCCCACCATCCAGTCAGAGCTGAAGAAGCTTCTGGGATGAGAAGCGAAACGTTTTCAAAATAAAAACAAAGTCCAGTTGTCTCCTGTAAAAGCACCTTTGGGATTCATAAATTAAGAAGCATCACGATCTATCAGCTTATGATAAATAGTTGTAGATGGATTTATAAATACTAATTGGTGGCACAGTCTTCAGATTTTGCAAAGAAAGGGAGGAAGAACAGAAGAAGAAAAAAACTATCCCCTATGTTTTTATTTCTTTATGGGTGATGGAAAAACATTTGATATGGGATTGAAAATATATAGTTTGATATTTGTCTGCCCCTCGGTCATATAGATGTTGAATTTTGGCCCTGTTTTATTCATTTAATCTTTGATTGTTACTTTTTATATGTTGCTTATTCAATACTAGCCGCTACTCACAGTGCCTTGACAAACTTGATAGTGTTTGTCTGATATTACGCATTTTGCTTACCCTTGTTTTAGTTTGCAAGGAAAGCAAGAAATTCTAAAATACACAAAAAGCAGAAAGCAACAGAGGCATTAACTTGGGTTTCCATGGAATCCGATACAGTACAAATCGCAATCAAATTAGTTTGAAATAACCTAGAGAAAGTTTAGGCCAAGAGAAACAATATTCTCCCCCAAATGGTTAGACTTCTCCAAGTTTTCATATAATGACCTGCCATAAATAATGTACTAAAATCTATCCTGACCCTCTTTTTCTTTTCAGCAATCAACATTTTGCTAACAAATGCAACAACAGACATGTTTGTTTTGATGTATAGCTGTGTGACATATTATAAATATTACATCACATAACTGCAGAGAATGTCACTCAATGAGGTTTTTTTTTCCTTGCCAAATAGCATTAAATGAAGCATGGAGTTCTGCCTCTGAACAGCTCCTTTAAGGAGCTCCTTTTGCTTAAATGATTAATAGGCTATGCATTGTCAGAAAAATGTCCTTAAAATGAAAAACAGTAAACTACAAAGATATCATTCATTTTTTAAGGAATTCTGCCGTGAAAATAGCTCATAAATTATACTCTGAAACCACCATTTTGGATCTTGCTGCTTAGCCAAAATGCAGAAATTGGCATGTGCAGGCGCATATTCAAATGCACATAAATCTCTAGACTATCGTTTTAAATTTATTTTAAAAAAATAAATCTGAAACCCCGAACATGGAATAGTCATTACAACTCGTGTGATGAGCGCAAATGAAACAGCAAAGTCTCCCTTTCCAGATTTGAACTATATCACTTGTTGCAAGACATTATTGTACAGATCACATATCTTATATACTATGAAATAATATAATTACCTTCTTGGATGCAGCTTCTCAGAATATATGTGTGATGGGCCTGAAGTAGTATTTATTCCCCTTATGCTAGTGGATAGCACAGGTGTACCATGATCCCAAGTCTGGTTCAAAGGCCGAAAACAGATTCAGAATAACAGAGTTGGAAGGGGCCTTGGAGGTCTTCTAGTCCAACCCCCTGCTCAAGCAGGAGACCCTATGCCATTTCAGACAAATGGCTGTCCAGTCTCTTCTTAAAAGCCTCCAGTGTTGGAGCATTCACAGCTTCTGGAGGCAGGTGGTTCCACTGATTAATTGTTCCAGCTGTCAGGAAATTGCTCCTTAGTTCTAGGTTGCGTCTCTCCTTGATTAGTTTCCACCTGTTGCTTCTTGTCCTGCCTTCTGGTGCTTTGGAGAATAGCTTGAACCCCCTCTTCTTTGTGGTAGCCCCTCAAATACTGGAATTCTGCTATCATATCACCCCAAGTCCTTCTTTTCATTAAACTAGACATACCCAATTCCAGCAACCATTCTTAGTATGTTTTAGCTTCCAGTTCCTTAATCATCTTTGTTGCTCTTCTCTGCACTCTTTCCAGAATCTCAATATCTTTTTTTATCTTTGGCAACCACAACTGGATGCAGTATTAGCAAGGCTTTATACAGTGGTACTGAAACTTCACGTGATCTTGATTCTTTCCCTCTGTTAATACAGCATTTTTTGGTTTTTGATTCACTCCTGGGCCCTCCCAAAACCACTTCTTCTCCAAGCACAAATCTTGATTCAGAATTTGATTTCCCCAAATTAATTCATAATTTCCACATGAAATCAGAACTGGGGTATTTTCTCTCAAAACTAGGAAATGTTTCCTGACACATAATTGCTTTTGTGCTTCCAACTTTTCTGTTCATTCCCTCCCTCCCTGTGAACAAGCTATTTGAAATTGGCAAGCAAATTTGCAGGTTTTGTACAAATGCGGTTCAAAAACCTTGTTACGAATTATGGATTTCATATATAAAACTCAGCATATATTTATATATAAAGCTCAGCATTTATATATATATATATATATATATAAAAAAGTTACATTTATGTAATTTATGATAGGATAATTGTGAAAAAGATAACATAACTCAACTAAAGTTCAACCCTAAATTGGCACCATATAAGGGCCAATGAAATTCAAGAGGGGTTGGACTTAGAGCAGGGGTCTTCAAAGTTGGCCCTTTTTATGACTTGTGGACTTCAACTCCCAGAATTCCTCAGCCAGCATGCCTGGCTAAGGAATTCTGGGAGTTGAAGTCCTCAAGTCATAAAAGGGCCAAGTTTGAAAACCCCTAACTTAGAGCATTTGTGGGAACATAACGATTCTAGGCTGATTACTTTCTTGACTCCACCCCAGGCTTTGCATGCTCTTCTCCTACAGAAACAACGGTGGTTTCTTGAAGACAGTTTAAGACCGTGAACAATTCACGTCCTTCTTATAGCTCTGTTTTTGGTAGACCTAAGAACACACTGAAAGCATGCTGCTGAAATTTAAAAAAACAAGTGAGAATGGGAAACTGGGCTATTCACCCCCCAAAATAATTTAATATCTCAGGCAATAAAATGATCTTAGCCTTGACCATGACTTTAAAAGCTGAAGATGTGATGTGGGGGGGGGGGAATAGAGAAAATAATCAACTTCTACAATACAACCTCACCCCCAGGCACAACGAAGCATGCAAATTCAATGGGCATGAAATTCCAAACTGTTTGTCCCGATATTGCTATTATGTCTAAAACAGCTCACGTGCCCCACATATACATAGACTATATCACTTTAGAACAACCGAAGAAGTGCAAATTATGCACAGGGTGTATGGTTTTCTTTGAAAGTGCAGTTATAATTCCTGTCTTCCCACCGCTCTGATGATTCTTTAACACCGGCAGCCAATTATACCAGACAGGGCTAGAGAAAAACATAGCTACATTGGCTTAACGATTACAAATGGGAAGAGGCACTTTCCAAACAAGTCATTCCAAATTTGGGGGATCTCTGTTGGATATTCTAGGCCCATTTTCTTCCGTTTGTTTCCTTGAATGCTAATATGAAATCATTGCGTGCATCTATTTTGCTGTCAATTTGATGCAGCCCCCCCACACACAAACTTTTTTTTTAAACAAAGTCTTGGAAACTGAAAGCATAATTGGCGATGCTTAGTGGTGCCTGTGCGATAATTTATGGAAATGCGTGAGCTGCCGAGGGTTTGGATGGTGGTGCTGATTCAAGGAGAATTTCACTGAGTCAGCAGCATGCGAAGAACGGCTGTCTTTGGTAGGGATCTATTATGAGGATGATGGAATTTGCAAAATCTTGGCTGAAAGAAAAGCTGGCTGAATGCATAGGCACTATAAGGAGGTGAACAATTCATACAGTGGAGGGAATGTCTAGGGCAGGGATCTTCAAACTTGGCCCTTTTATGACTTGTGGACTTCAACTCCCAGAATTCCTCAGCCAGGCATGTCCACAAGTCATAAAAGGGCCAAGTTTGAAGACCCCTAGTCTGTGGAGTCTCCATCATCCAGGTCATGGTTGTCCCACAGGTGCTTTTTTCACAAGGCAACTGGACGTCCTTGTTTTTTCTTTGAAGACATTTTGCTTCTCATTCAAGAAGAGATGAAGAAGCTTCTTGGATCAGAAGCGAAATGTCTTCCAAGAAAAACAAGGAAGTCCGGTTGCCTCATGAAATATTTATTTTTGGGACAATGGAGGGAATGTTAACCAAATCTGGAACTTATCATCAGATTCCATTCCATGGGTCATCTATCTGTATGTCATATATAATTGTTGTATAGGAACACGGTGGCTTGCATGGTTAGGATGCTGCATTGGACATTAGCAAGCTCATGTTTGAGACCCAGGTGCTGCTATGGGGTGGAGTGAGCTCCCGTCCTTTGCTCCAGCTCCTGCCGGGGGCATGAAAGAAGCCCCCAGCTGGGTGTCCCCTGGGCACCGTTGATTTCACCGGCTAATCCTTTCAACTCAGAAGCGCCTTGGTGCTTCTGACACAAGTGTGATGACGAATAGCTCCAATGTGTGATTGTAATCCCTGAACTGGATACTTTTATATCAGACAATGAGAAAGATTCTAGGATGTCCTAATGACACTCAGTCCCTGTTTTCATGGGGATAATACACCACATCCCAGCTTCTGTCTGTTTCCTTCGCTTTGGGAAAATAGGGTCCACTGGTTTTCCTCATGTAGGAGAAAAGGAGGAGGAAGTACACCCTAGTTTAAGATCTAATAAAGTCTCGTTGAAATGTGGGAATCTTGGATCTGCAGCATCTTGTTCCATTGATTGATTTATACTCTCATCTAAAAGAGCCCTGTGTCATAGCTAGTAACATTTGATAGACCATTAATTCCCCTAAACTATTTTCTATTCCATCTCAGCAGTCACAGGTAATGACAGGTACAGTCCAAGATACTAACCTGTATCGTTGGTAGTCTCCCTCATCCTTATCTCTGCAGACCAGCTCATTCGGACACGCTGCATTTCCCAGCAAACTAAGGAACTCCAGGGAAGGGGCTACTTCAGCCAAGTGATCCAGCAACCCCTCCAACTCTGTTATGTGTCCAAGGGAGGGGATGGATTAAGGATTCAACAACATAAACAACAGGGAAAACTTCAGTCAACATTGTGCCTCTCCCACCCCTGCCCTCCAGCAAGGTCCCAGAGCATGATGGTTCAAGGATTCGAAGGACATTGTGGTAAGACGGGTGAATCCTAAACTCTAAACCAGTGGTTCTCAACCTGTGGGTCGGGACCCCATTTGGGGTCGAACGACCATTTCACGGGGGGTCGCCAAACAACGCAGTCCGCCATTTTTTTCTCCCTTTTCCTTAGCTGTGCTACTCCCTTTTATTCTATTGGCTTTGGAAAGCCAATAGAATAGACTCTCTTGAATAGAGTCTAATTCTATTGGCTTTCAAAAGCCAATAGGAATTGTCCAGGCTGTCTCTGCCCTGCTGAGCCCGCCAAAAGTCCCATTCTGCAAACGGTGCTGCACCAGTTGAGTAGTCCTCGACTTACGACCGTTTGAGTAGTCCTCGACTTACGACCGGTTGAGTAGTCCTCGACTTATGACCGGTTGGGGTCGCGGCATTAAAAAGGTTGAGAACCACTGCTCTAAACTATCATGGCAACTATGACTGCTTCTTTCTTTCTTTCTTTCTTTCTTTCTTTCTTTCTTTCTTTCTTTCTTTCTTTCTTTCTTTCTTTCTTTCTTTTTTTCTTTCTTTCGCCTAAAATGAAAGATCATGGGATTTATTTGCTCTTTTCTTCGTTTCTTTTTCATTCCTAGCCGACTGTCTGCAAAACATTAAGAACTTTGACAAAGTGATAGATGTTGCATGGGAAAATGGTTAGCAACTGTTGAAGCCATGAAACTTTTCCAACATGGCACTGACGATTACTTTCACAGTACATCCATCACTAAATATATTACAACAGGTTGGAAAAATGGATCTTGGAATGGAGTCAAATGACTGCCGCCCCAGTATACCATTGGTGCTTCTTGGGAAATATGTTAAATGTGTTAGCAGAAATGCTTGACCAAAGAAGCTGCTATTAAAGCCCTGACTAAACAAAGGCCCAGTTTAAAGAGAAGGAAATAATAAAAATGGGAAAAAATGCCATACTAACTTAGAGAGATGAGACATGGCAGTCATTTAATGCATCTGATGATGTTATCTAATTTGGGTAATGAAAGGTCTACAAGAAAATAACCAAGCTCAGAGAGCACCCAGGACTCCTCATTTAATGTATCCTCTATTTCTCAAATTCTACGAAAAGGAATTCTTTGAATTTTCTGCATTTTTGCATAAGATAAAAATAAAACACATGAAGAATGGTTATAGGAATTGAGTATGTCTAGTTCAGTGGTTCTCAACCTTTCTAATGCCGTGACCCCATAATACAGTTCCCCATGTTGTGGTGACCCCCAAGTGGGTGTGGCCACCAATAAGAGGGAGTAGGACAGCTAGGGAAAAGGGAACAAAATGGTGGACAGCGTGGTTTGGTGACCCCCGTGAAATGGTCGTCGTTCCCAAATGGGGTCCCGACCCACAGGTTGAGAACCACTGGTCTAGTTTAATGAAAAGAAGGACGAGGGGAGACATGATAGCTGTGTTCCAATATTTAAGGGGCTCCTACAATGACGAGGAAGCCAAACTATTTTTCAAATCACTAAAAAGCAAGACAAGAAGCAACAGATGGAAACTAACCAAGGAGAGAAGCAACCTGGAGCTAAGGAGAAATTTCCTAACAGTGAGAGCAATCAACCAATGGAACAGAAGTTGCCTTCAGAAGTTGTGGGTGCTCCATCACTGGGGGCTTTCAAGAAGAGACTGGACCACCATTTATCTGAAATGGTATAGGGTCTCCTGCTCGAGTAGGGGGTTGGACTAGAAGACCCCCAAGGTCCCTTCCAATTCTATTGTTCTATGTTCTATATTTTTGCCACTGGGCATTATTAGAGTTTTATGGGGTCCTACAAATATAGACAGTGAATAAATCTTTTGGGACCTTCAGACAAGCAGGATTGTATGATAGCCTAGTAGTATTCCCAGGCCGTTCCCCAGGTTAGAGGACCATTGAAGAAGCAGGAGATAAATCCTTGTTCTCTAAAGTTATGGGGGGAAGGTGAAATAGGCTGTGGCTTCCAGTTGTAGCTGCAGAGGCAATAGGATTACATCTTTGTGTCTATGGAGATTCTCAGTCATCCAGGCCATAGTTATCCCAAAGGTGCTTCAGCAGTTCCAAGAAGTCTCCAGACCCATTTGCACCACTCAGGTGACCCTTGAGGACACAGATAAACCTCCAAGTGGCCTCAACAACTCTCTAAAACAGTGGTTCTCAACCTGTGGGTCGGGACCCCATTTGGGGTCGAATGACCATTTCACGGGGGTCGCCAAACCATGCTGTCCGCCATTTTCCCCCCTTTTCCCTAGCTGTCCTACTCCCTCTTTTTGGTGGCCACACCCACTTGGGGGTCACCACAACATGGGGAACTGTATTATGGGGTCACGGCATTAGAAAGGTTGAGAACCACTGCTCTAAAAGAAGGCAAATAAGCAAATAACCAGCTCTCTGCAAGGAGTATAAATCCCTCCCTTCCCCACCATCCAGTCAGAGCTGAAGAAGCTTCTTGGACGAAAAGCGAAACGTCTTCAAAGAAAAAATAAGAAAGTCCAGTTGCCTTGTGAACAAGCACCTTTGAGATTACATCTTCAGCATTTGAAAGAGTGATCTCAAACTTGGATTCAATTATTACTACTACTATGCAAACCAGTACACACGTAGGTCTCAAATCCCCAAAGGCACTCTGCCAAATCATAATTACATTAATTTTTCTACAATGAAGTTCACCCTAAGATGAAGGGCTTTCTCCAACTGTCGGCACAGAATCATTGGTTTCAATCAACCGTTCATCCTTTTATCCATTTGTTTCTGGAGTTTGTCACCACCATCATCACGTGGCTCTCTTAACAGATTCAGGGCAGTTGGTTGCTTGTCTTTGACTTTGATGTATGTGTTGCTGTTATCTTTGTTATCTCTTGCAGATGGAATATTCCCCATTTTTTCACCTCAATAACTAAAGGGCCGTGGCATTGCCCCAGAGCAGAAACAGATGCTAAACCCTTCAAGGCCTCCCTTTGACTATCTGGATACCAATTTACATCTTATTTGCTGGAGGCAAACAAGGAAACGGAGAGGTGGGAGACAAGATCCAGCACAAGAAAGAAGGCCGTATCCTCTCCCCTTTTTCATAACGCTGGACAAAAGCGTGCTTGATGCAGAGCTGAAGACAAATTATTCCTTTTTGCTTTAATTAGAAGGAGTTCCAAATACGATGAAAGAAGCAAGAGGGTAAAAGTAATTCTCTCTCTTGTAAAAAACCTTCTTCTTCCCAACCTGTTTTGTTTTTTAACCTTTCATAGGGTTAAAAAAAAAAACTCTTTTCCCTACAGATTAAAAAAAGCACATGGCAAAAGTGGTCATTGTCTGTGAAGCACCTGGGCTACCCGTACTTGAACCTAATCTACAGAAGACAAACAGTGATTGCTGTGAAATTATTTGTGTTATTCTGAATTAATTAGCTTGTTAGGCAGATGCCAGCATTTCAGGATTTGTGTTACTTGTTCCCAACGGTTCTAAGATTTGTGAGTTCAAAATATCTTCTGTAGGTTGACCAGATAAAAGATTGGCAGGCAAATAGACCTTGAAGAATATTAACACTATTATTAACACTATTATTAACAGTCTGGTTAATTCCTTCTTAAATTCCTGCTTAACATAATCAACAAAGGAAGCGATCAGTCAATCAGAATAGAGTTGGAAGGGACCTTGGAGGTCATTTAGTCCAACCCCCTACTCAGGCAGGAAACCCTATACCATCTCGGACAAATGGTTGTCCAGTCTCTTCTTAAAAACCTCCAGTGATGGAGCACCCACAGCTTCTGGAGGCTGGTTGTTCCACTGGTTAATTGTTCCAACTGTCAGGAAGTTTCTCCTTAGTTCCAGGTTGCTTCTCTCCTTGATGTGTTTCCATCCGTTGCTTTTTGTCTTGCCTTCTGGTGCTTTGAAAAATAAGTTGACCCCCTCCTCTTCTTTGTGGCAGCCCCTCAGATACTGGAAGACTGCTATCACATCCCCCCTAGTCCTTTTTTTCCTCTAGATTAGCCAAACCCAAATCCTGCGACCGTTCTTTGTATGTTTCTGCCTTTAATCATCTTAGTTGCTCTTCTTTGCACTTTTCCCAAAGTCTCAACATCTTTTTTGTAAATTCCTTCCGGTGAGTTTGGAGCAGAGTGTTTTGGGGTCAGATTTTCACTCTAAAACAATCTGCAAGCCCCTACTCAGCACTGATCCTTTTTTTCAGAGTAGAGCTGAATTGTCAATGTTTAAACCGAGAACCGAGATTGATGCAAAGCACAGAGGTGGATTATCATTTTTTACTTATGAATCTTATGAAGATGTTACTAATGCAACCCTGTTCTTAGCATTTGTAGTCATCTCTAAGGGGTGAGAGGAACAGGCTAAAAATGTGACTTAGAAGCAATGCCTCTCAACATTTTCCAACAGTAATCAATCTCCAGATTGCCCTATGACCTCAGGAATTCTGGGAGTTGAAGTCCACAAGTCATCAAAGGGCCAAGTTTGAAGACCCCTTGACATAGATGAACTATTCTTTTTTCTTTATGACATCGTTCTGATCCTAAGGTTGGACCAGGAGACCTCTAATCTCTTCTAGACTCTGGTTCTATCCTGGGGTCCTCTGATGAGGGTCTTTTAAGCATTTAGTGCCAACCATAGAGTAAACAGTCTGCCAGCAGAAATGGTGTCTTACTTCAAGGTGGAGCCACTCCTACCTCTTTGAGTCAATTTGGCTTAAAGTAGCCTGGGTAGAATCCCAGGCACTGGATAGCGCTACCATTTCCCTTGGCACCTATCAGTCTTCAGGTCTTACTGGATTTATTTGACTTTGCATAATTCTGATGTTTTAACTACCATAGGGACTATTTCCCCAAAATGGAATTTCCACAAAGTTTTGGCGGGAAATGATGGTGGCTTAGGGAGAAGTTCCCAGAAGAGAGGGAAATGGAGGACCAACTTTGAAGAAAAAAGTCATCTGCAGCAAGCAACTCTCCCTTCAAGAGGTGCCTCCGTACTCACGGGGCTTCTGCACAGACATGAAAAATCTCCTGATGATTCGCTGGCTGATTCTTGATGTTGGATTTGGCGTAAACATCTTGTGTTGTGTATTGTCGCTGCTGATCACCTTCATTAGTTTGCCTTTACAAATGGATCTTTTTCCAATAAATGACCAGAGTTTCTATTTCCTATTCTATTCTGTTCTGTCCTATCCTATTCTACATTCTATTTTATTCAACATTCTATTTTGTTCTTTTCTGTTTTGTTCTGTTCTGTCCTTTCCTATTCTATTCTATATTCTATTTTGTTCTGTTCTGTCCTGTCCTGTCCTATCCTATCCTATTCTACATTCTACTTTATTCAACATTCTATTTTATTCTGTTCTGCTCTGTCCTGTCCTATTACACATTCTATTTTACTCTACATTCTATTCTATTTTATTTTATTTTATTCTACATTCTATTTTATTTTGTTCTATCCTGTTCTGTTCTGTTCCGTCCTGTCCTATCCTATCTTATCCTGTCCTATTCATTCTATTCTGTTTTACATTCTCTTGTATTCTAACCTACATTCTATTTTATTCTATTCTATTCTATTCTATTCTATTCTGTTCCATTCCATTCCATCTTTATTCTATTCTATTCTATTCTATTCATATGTATATAGAATATGCAGATAGATAGATAGATAGATAGATAGATAGATAGATAGATAGATAGATAGATAGATAGATAGATAGATAGATAGACAGACAGACAGACATGACAGACAGAGGTATAGAGAGATAGAGATATACGCCCAACTGTCTGAAATGCTGTTCTGGAGCCTCCTTACTTGAGTGCTGAGTCTAACCCTGCATAGGAAATCAAGAATTCAGGATGCAAGGAAGCTGTGCATCGCCTCCTTTCATTGCATCCCGTCTTCCACTAGAGGTCGGCCTTCTCCAGAATCCAAAAAACCAGCCAGATTCCTTCTTGTTCTTCCCAAGTGAAAACTGCCTGTTATTTCCACACTTCTGAGTTTCCTAACAAAGATTCCTTCAGAGCCACCAGCCTCAGCCACAGACCTCCCTCCCTCCCTCCCTCTGGTTTTAGCGGCAAAGAGCGCAAGGCCTCCTGCTTATGAAAGAGACACTGTAAACCTCCTGGCTAAAGAAGAGAAAGGAGATGTTTGCCTGCATCTAAACAGCATTTTACGTTCCTTCACGCGGCTGCCACAGAAAGATTGCGGGGGGGGGGGCGCTGGCGGGCTCTCCCCTCCCTCTGTTTCCAAAAGGATATTTGGTTCTTGTTGAGCATCAGAGTATGGAGGTGTGGCAAGCTGGGCAGACGGAGGTGGTTTTGCAGAAGGTTGTTGTCCAGAATGAGTTCTTCCAAGCAGCTGAAGGTCTCCAGTCCTTCCAGGGACCTGCACTCAAGAATGAGAGAGAGAGAGAAAGAGAGAGAGAGAGAGAGGGAAGGTGTGTGAGAGTGAGAGAGAGAGAGGGAGGGAGGGAGATTGAGAGAGAGAGGGAGGGAGAGAGGGAGAGAGGGAGGGAGGGAGAGAGGGGGGAGGGAGGGAGGGAGGAGGGGGAGGGAGATTGAGAGAGAGAGAGGGAGGGAGAGAGAGAGAGAGGGAGGGAAGGTGTGTGTGTGTATGAGAGAGAGAGAGGGAGGGAGGGAGAGAGATTGAGAGAGGGAGAGAGGGAGGGAGGGAGAGGGAGGTTGAGAGAGAGAGAGGGAGGGAGGGAGAGAGTGAGAGAGAGAGAGAGAGAGAGAGAGAGAGAGAGAGAGAGAGGTCCTCCTGTTAGCCAAGGAGTCTGATGATGAGCTGAAATAAACATTTTAACCTTCTCTTTTGAAAGGAGCCATGAGGAATTTGGGTTCCTGTCCCGTCAGGAGGGCTGAGTGACAAGAATTAGCGGGAAAGGCAGGGCCAGGGCAGCGTGGAGGATGGCGGCCGCTCCACGAGAATCGCCAGGAGGCCCAGCTCAAAGGCCCAGAGGGGAGCCCTGCGGGATGGATTTGTCAATGTCTGGTGCCTTCCGGCCCCCACCCAGCCCCGCCTGACCCCAACCTCCATTCCCAAGACAAATAACTCTGTCACACTTCACCTTCATTCTCAGGACACGGATTTAAGTTGCCATCCATCATTTCTGCCGTGAAATATCATGCCCACTAACAATAATAAATTCAGTTTCAGAAATTGTTCTCAGCAGCCTTTCTAGATATATAAAAAGCAAGGAAAGGCTGGAGCTGGGGGGTGAGGTGTGTATGTGTGTATATATATGTATATGTGTATATATGTGTATGCGTGTGTGTATATACATGCTATTATATATATATACACACACACACACACACAGAGACATATTATTGCATATATATATTATAATATATATATGTGTGTGTGTATGTATGTATGTACATGTACATGTATATAACACACACACCAACCCCAGTTCCATGTACATGTATATAACACACACACACCAACCCCAGTTTATATATAGAAATGCTGCTGAGAACAATTTCTGAAGTTGAATTTATTATTGTTAGTGCATATTATATGTATATATACACATATACATACACACATACACATACTAATATATATATATATATATATATATATATATATATATATATATATACACACATACATACATACATACATACATATACACATACACACACACACATACACACACACACCACCCTCAGCTCCAGCCTTTTCTGCTTGCTTTTTAAAAGTACGAAAGAGTCAGTATTGGAGAGAAATGCAGAGTTGTTCCACACCACCTAACAGATAACAAATAATTTGTTTGCCTAACAAATAATTGCATACACACTCCCTCCAATGCTGTTATGCATAACCCTTCTTTAAAGAAGCAGGCAAAATATTTTCAACTATGGCAACACAACTCTCAAGGTTGCAAACAAAGGAGACTTGTAAACAAACAAACCAGCCTTGGTAGAATTTTGGCTGTGCATAAACCCGGATTTGACCCTTTGCCAGGGATGGTGTTCAGCATTAACTCATAGTTTCGTGGCTTTGCAAGTTCACACAGGCTGTGGGGGAGAAGCACCGCATCAATCAAAGAAGCATCAGCATGTTGTATGAAACACACCCATGGGCACACATCTGCAGCTTGTTCACCTTCCCAATACCTGGATCTGCTGAGAGGCCTTGACTTGACAGTCGAGCTCATTTGCCTATCAGGAAGGAGAATCACCACTTAATCACTGTCTGACTGTTTTATAGATTGTGATGGCTAAAGAAGATGGAGAAGGAGAGTATTTATTCACTGCCAAATAACAATATTTTCTCTCTTCGGCATCCTTCATCAAGGCCTATAGGAGGATTTCTCTATTACATTCTCTTGAGGCTGGCTTGGTCGCTGAACAGCAAGACCCTCATGAATCGGGCACAGCAGCGCCTGCATTTTCTGCATTACATGAGAAAAGCACATCTTCTTTCCACTGTCCTCACCACTTTCTGCAGAAGGACGATCAGGAGCATCATATGGCACCACAGTCTGGGTTGGAAGCATCCCTGTGTCAGATAGGAAGGCTATGCAGAGAATGGTGAGGACAGAAGAAAATATTATTGGCAGTTCCCGCCCTTCCATCCAGGAAATAGCACATAAGTGTTGCTTGAGCAGGGTCCACAAGATTGTCTGGGACACTACACACCCTCTTCACAACCTGTTTTCCTTGTGGAGGAGGGGGCTTCGTGGTATCCAAAGCAGAACATCCAGGTTCAATCACAGTTTTGTTCCATACAGCATCAGCCTTGTGAACTTTCAATTCCTCCTTGCACTATCTATTCAAGATGGATAGTGATTAATATTTATATGTATTTATATGTAAGGGTGTAGCTACATACATATGTTGTATATAGCATGTTTATATGTGTGTTATGTATGGGTACGCTTTTGAGAACAGGCAACAGAAGTTCATTTTAACCAGCCTTGACCCTTAAGGCAGACAATATTAGAGGGTTTTCTTAAAGTAAAAATATAACAAGAGCAATTCATTGAAGAACTAACAAAATGATGCTCTTTCATGACTCATAAATTATGTGAGATGGCCACATCAACACCCAGTAGCAGGGATGGTTCCACCTACATGCTCTAAACCTTGTTGTTTTTTGTAAATCACCTAGAAGAACATTCACTCCCAAAAGTTACTTTCAGTTTATAATAGGCCTATGATACATGGCGATGCCCAGCCTTTCTCTATAAAATGTCAGTGGTAGGTTATGTTCAACATTCAGAATATTACTAAATAATAGTTGCTGCTCTTGTTGTTGTTCTAATTACTGTTTTCACCTTTTTCAAAATGAAGTGTCAGGGAAGGCTACCTGCTTTTTAGAACTATTGGGCCTTAGGGGATAAAAAAAGACCTTCACTTGGGTTCGGTGGCAAAACAGACAACGTTACTGAACTCTCTTATACAAGTATGCAAATATATAATACCCTTAAGAGAATCTGCAAACCATCAGCAAGAGGGGCAAAAGAGTAAAAAAAAAAAAAAACACTTCCAAAATGGCTAGACAGATGGCACACAAGCGAAGGAGAGCGAGCGAGGGCATCTGGTAACAAGATGGCATCTGGCATTTTAAACAAGAGCAGGGAAAAACTGGTTTCCCAAATCTTTCTTCAAGCCTAGTTGGCATCTGATCCTTTGAACCCGGGAGTCTTATCCACTTTTACCTCCTCCGCCTCATCTCCCCGTCTCCTGGACACACATCAGCCCCAGTGACAGGTGTTCACCCCAGAGATGGTGAAACTGGCTGTGTCTATAAAAGTGGTGTCAATGCCTTTGGCAGAGAGAAACGCTTTTCTGAGGAGACCGGATTAGCATCACTCATAGTAGAAATCAGCTGTTCTGGCATGTGGGGTATTTCTGTTATTAATACCTCACATCCCCCTCCCCCCAAAAAAACTGCAAGGAAGCAGAGTGTCTGTCTGTCTTCCTGCCTGGTTATCTGTCTGTCTGTCTTCCTGCCCACTTGTCTGTCTGTCTGTCTTCCTGCCTGCTTGTCTGTCTGCCTGTCTGTCTGTCTTCCTGCCTGCTTGTCTGTCTGCCTGTCTGTCTTCCTGCCTGCTTGTCTGTCTGTCTGTCTTCCTGCCTGCTTGTCTGTCTGCCTGTCTTCCTGCCTGCTTGTCTATCTGCCTGTCTATCTTCCTGCCTGCTTGTCTATCTGCCTGTCTGTCTTCCTGCCTGCTTGTCTGTCTGCCTATCTGTCTTCCTCCTGCTTATCTGTCTGCCTGTCTGCCTTCCTGCCCACTTGTCTGTCTGTCTGTCTTCCTGTCTGCTTGTCTGTCTGCCAGTCTGTCTGTCTTCCTGCCTGCTTGTCTGTATGCCTGTCTGCCTGTCTTCCTGCCTCCTTGTCTGCCTGCCTGTCTATCTTCCTTCTTGCTTGCCTTTCTCTCTGTCTGTCTGTCTTCCCGCCTGCTAGTCTGTCTGCCTAATCTGTCTTCCTGCCTGCCTGCCTGTCTGTCTGTCTGAGTGAATTAAAAGCAGCAAAGCACCAGTTCAATGCCATGAATGGTATCCGGGCTTCCGGGGCAATGTCAGGTAGGATGTCTCCCTGGTTGGCTTAAAGGCTAATCAGCATCACTCAGGTGCCTCACAGGTTGATCTCTTCTCTGCTCTGACAGGAAAGCTGCCCATTATCTCACCCCACAGGTACCATCTCGCTTACCTCATTGCCAGCCTCCCTCCCTCCCTCCCTCCCACCTACCCACCCAACCACCATCACCACTACCCCTCCGGGAGGGGAGCCAACGGTTGCCAAGAGATTTCCCTCTGTGCTCTTTCCAAAGTCACATCAAAATGACAAAACATCACAACGCATTCAGCTCTGCCCGATTCCAGCAGAAAGAACTTTACGGTTTCCACTGTAATTAACCCTATCCTCGTTAAGATAATTATGATCAAGCTCTCTGTCACAGCTAATAGCGCAGCATCATTGCCCACGGCTCACGCTTTGCCCTCATTAGCTTACAAAAACACTGTGCTGAGCAGGCAAAGCAATTCCACCCTTCCTGGGGATTTGGGAGCTCCTGCGGTTGAGACAAAAAGCCTCCAGAGAGCAGGCCTCCTCAGGACCCCTTGTGCCCGCCTTCGAGCCCTTGAACTAATCGGGAAACCGGCCTTCAGTGTATCCACATCTCATAATTGGGTTATCATCTGAAGCGGAATTCTTTCTTCCCGTCTCTTTCATCCTTAAGGAGTCCTGGTAGGTGGCGATTTCTCGGGGAGGCCCATACGGCAACGCCAATCGACACCCTGGCCTGACGTGCAAAATTGGGCGGTGGGTTTTGATTTCTGTGTTAAGTGGAGGAGAGAGAAAAAGAAAAGAAAACCAGCTGGGAGTCTGTGTTAAATTTAAAAAAAAGGAAGGAGAGAGCTGTAAGC